TTTTTTTTTGTTAATAAACTTCTGCGTTAGTAAAGGATAAATAATTAAATAAATGAAACTACGTATAAAATAACATCTAACACTATTATTATTATTATTATATTAATATTGAAATTTCAATGGCAACGAATTGATAATGTAAAAAAAAAAGAAAATGTTAGGAAAAAAAATTTCGATAAAAGTTTATTATTAAGGTGACGGCAAAAAAAAAAAAAAGTTTTTATGTTGCTTCTTTAACATTATTTTTTTTTTTTTGCTTTTACTTTTTCTTTTTTCACTTTTTAAACTCTTTTTCCTTTTAAAATTTTTTTTTTTATTCTCTTGTGAAATCTGTGTTTTAGGATAAAAATATTTTTTTTCAAATTTTGTTTTTTTTGTAAACTTTAATGTTTGTTTATTGAAATTTTACAGTTTTTTAGTTTTTTATTTTAGATTTTGAGTATTTTATAAAAAAATAATTTATAATCAATAATCATGTGCAGAACAGAAATGATCTGATTTGAAGAAGCAACTTTCTTTTCAATGAAAAGAAAAATTATTTATTTGGGATATTTTTTTTTTTTTATATAAATTTGCATTAAATTAATTCCAACATTCCACCATTTTTAATATCAACTAACGACAATTTTTCACATTACAAAAAATTTTAATCCATTAATTTAAAAAAAAAAAAAATATATATATATATATATATATATTAATATTTTTTTTTTTAAGCATTTGAACAATTTGAAACTCATTTTAAGAAAAAAAAAAAATTAGATTTTATTATTTATAACGTATTGAAAAAAAAAAAAAAGAAAAGAAAGAAAATACATAAATATATATATATATATACACATAATTTGTCATCGCTTCTCTCCTCACAACTTCTGCTATGAACACATAGTTTTAATTATTTAATATTTAATAAATGCATTTATATATTTATATATATATATATATATGTATTAGGCAATTTAATATTTATTTTTAATATTTTTTTTTGTTTTTTTTTGTTTCTAATAATTAATTTAACTAATGCCTTGTATATATGGCCGTTGTTTACTAAAAATAACAAAATAATAAATTAACTGCACATTCTTATCTATTTAATTTTAATTATTTGTTGTTATTACGATTTTATTTACCAAAATTTTCAATTTAACAATAAGATAGGAAAAAAAAAAAATTAAGTTATATAAAAATAAATTTATTAATAAAATTGTGATAAAATAATAATATAATCATTCGTTTTTTTTTTTTTTTTTTTTTTATGTATAAACTCAAGTTGATTTAATTTATTTTATTTTATTATCTTTTTAAGATGTTGTAAACATACGAGTGCCTTGCTTATTATTTATTTAATGCACTATTAAGTTTAATTTTATATTAAATAATACAATTTTTCGTCTTTTTTTTAAGTCATACTACAAATAGTAGAATACAGCATTTATTGAAAAGATATCGTTTAAAAAAAAAAAAAAAAAAAAAAAAACGCTAATATGATTATTAAAAATATTTTTATTAATTATTATTATTATTATTTAAAAACAAAAAAAAATATATATATATATACATACTAATGTCGTACTAAATAAAATTAAACCATTATTTGTAAGTAAATAATTAATTTAAAATAAATGATGTTCCCAAACGAAAGTAAAAAAAAAAAAAAAAAAAAAAAAAAAGAAATAATAATAATAATCATCTATTCCTGTTCTTTTTCGTATTGGATGAATAAAATAATATATTTTCCATTATTTAACAATAATTTAATTTATATTAAAAATAATAATTTTATAAAAAAAAATTATTTTGTTTTTGTTTTTTTTGTTTTTTTTTTTTTGACAAATTTCGCCGTTATTTAGTTTTATTAAAAGTTAAAAAAAAATTACGTATCATCTAATGGAAAAATATTTTATTTAATAAATAATGCAAGTCACGAGTAATAATTTTTTTTTTTGTTAAAATAATTTTGTTTAATTTTGAATAATGTTATGTAAAAAAATTATTTATAAAATTTTTTTTTTTGGGAAAAATTCGATCAAAAATTTATTGAATTTTATTGTGTTTATTGTGTACCTACTTATTTTGATCGAGTTTTTTCTTTTTTTTTTTTTTTGTATTATTATTATTTTCACTCTTGTCACGTACTTGTACTTCGTGTTTACCAATATTTATTCCAGGTCTTTTACCCGATTTATTACTGTTATTGAAAAAAATTAATTAAAGTTAAAATTCAATTTTAAAAGATTAAACTAAGCGGGAAAGGATTAAAAAAAAATAGATTTGTAAAAAATATGTTTTAGATGTTTTATTGAAATTAGTTGTATTGATATTTAATGCTTGTAAATCAGTTATTTTTGAATCATTTTCCAAAGCTGGAATCGTTGATATGTATTCTTGAGTCGCCCATAAAAATGTGTCCAGAATATTTTCTGTACATTCTGCTATAAAACGGTAAAAAGGTCTAACGTCTCCTTCGTTGGCTAATTCTAAATATTCATAATACCTAAAAACATAAATAATATTAATGCTCAATTTATTTTAATTAATCAATTTTTTTTTTTATTTAATTACCTGTGTCGATCCTGCTTGTGTATGATTACTGGAGGAAAACCTGCTTGCATAAGTATGGCATTCATTAATAGCCTGGAAGTTCGGCCGTTACCATCATCGAAAGGATGAATTCTAACTAATTTATAATGTGCCAATGCTGCATATTTAACAGGATGCATTCTTACGGCAGATTCTGAATTTAGCCAAGTTTCAAATTCTTTCATCAACGGTGGTATATCGTTGGGCGATGGCGGTATAAGACCGCCTACGTAAACTTGGGTTCTACGAAATTCTCCACTGCTAAAAGGATTAACGTAACCCAAAACTCGTTTGTGAATTTCTAAAATATCTTTTAACATAATTGGACCAAACCTAAATGATAAGATAAATAATATTAATCGTTATTTATATTTATTTATTTTACTTTGAATTATTTTTTAAATTAAAAAAAAACATTGTAAAAAAGTTTTTGTAAAGCCTTTAAAAAAAAAAAAAAATTGTAATTTTGAAATGTATGTTAAAAACTTTTAAGAAAATTATTATTTTCTTACTCTTAATTTTTACCTATTTACTAATGTTGTATTTATATATTTTAGAGCAGCATCTAAACCGAGGATTTCATTGTGTTCAAAAATTGATTTTCCTCCTATAGCCATTTGAGTTTCAACAATTGATCTAGTTTGAGAAAGAGTCATTGTGTTTCCTTCTATTCCAACAGTATGATATATATGCTGCAATAAATTGTTGATTTTTTTAAAATATTAAAAATGTAAGAAACTACTTTATTTTTAGAGTACATAAATTGTGATTTATTTAAAAATTACATTTTGAAACTTTTTCTAATATTTTTTAACTGGTTTAAAAAATGTATTCATTGTTCATTAATAATATTTTTTCTTACAGATTAATTTAACATTAATTTAATGTAATTATTAATAATCAAATAATTATTAACTTTCAGCCTCAATATTTAAACTGACACATGCATTAAACGATAATGATTTATTTTTAAATTCACCTGAAAATATGCTTCTTTTTTAGCTCTTTGCAATCCTATAAATGAGTCTGGAATAGCTGAAATTTGATCTCTCTTTTTATCAATTCTCTTTAAAATTTCATTTTCCATTTCCTCAACTAAAGGAGCAGTACGTTGTCTATTTTGAATAGCTTTCTCATGCTCAGGGCTATAGGTAAGGGCTTGAAAATAAAGTTGATCTGCTTGTATTACATCATTCTGGGTTTCTTCTAAAAATTCTCCATAATGATTTAATATGTCAGAGTGTTTTGGAGCTAAATTTGTGGCATGTTTAAATAACTTGAATGCTTTATCATATTTCCCTTCAATTTTCATTTCTAGAGCAGCATTCATAGAACTAATAGCTTCTAACTCTGAAACTAAAATACATTTTTCCTATAATAAAAAAAAAATTAATTAACAATAAAAAAAAAAATGTAAATGTTTTTTAAATACTAACCAAAATTGTGTTTTTTTTTGGACAGCTCAGGTTTTCTAAAATATATACCTGTATATTCTTCTTCAACAATTTGTAAGTGACTATCTTGAGGTAGCAATGAATAAATTTTTTTAACAGGCTTAATTTGATTGGTTAACTCATTTTTAAAATATTTTATAAAATATAAAAACAAATATGCCAAGCACACACCACAGAAAAACAAAAGGTATAAATGAAGTCGAATCATAACTTCTTTTTGAATAAAAATATATTCTAATAAACTATAAAAAATAACAAACATTTTAAAACGTCATTGTCAAATATTTACGATTCACTTTAAAGCTTATTTATATATTAGATAATAATAAATAGAGAAATTGATTAACAATTTTTAGGGTAAACATTTTTATAATCAATAATAGCAGAAGACTTTAGTGAATGTCTAAAGACACGTCTTGTTTTGAAGTATCAGAACCGTCGGATCTGTCTCGGAGATTGTTACTATTATTTTTTTTTAAATATTATTTATAATTTAGTGAAAAGTTTTTATTATTTTGAAGATTTAAGGTATTGATTTTTATTAAAAATTTACTAACTCAAATTAAACATATTATTATTATTATTTTTTTTAAAGTACAATTTACTATTAAAAATCATTCGAATAAAATGCTGATTTGTAAGCATTGTAAAAGAAACGAACTATTGGAATATCTTGAATGTAATAATTGCGGAGAATACATTCACATCGATTGCCTTAAAAGCTCTAATGTGACAGATATGTTATTAGGAGATGTATTTTTTATTTTCATTTGTAAAGATTGCAACGTCAGTGAAGAAGATTATATAGAAAGAGATAAAATTGCATGGTAAATATAATTTATAAAATTTTAAAATTATGTTTAAAAAGTTTTTTTAATTAAAATAATTTTATAATAAGTACTATTTTTTAAGGGTTGATGTTGTATTGCTTACACTTTACAATTTGACTAAAAAAGGTCTGGATGAAAGTTGTTATGGCTACTTTCACTGTGATCAACATATTAAAAAATTTGTTAACACAAATTGGAAAATATTATTCCCTCATATGAAGTAAGAATTTTGTTCATATTTAAAAAAATATACATTTCATTAAGATTATAAATAAATTGTTTTCATTAATAGAACCAAAAGAAAAAGTTGGAAGCAAATGATTACTACTACTTTAAAGTCATTCACACCTGAATATTTCCTTTGCGGTGATGGTCTTTTTGAATTTCCCTCTGGTTTAACTGGATGGTATAAATTGGCAAAGCCCGACATGCTTCCAAATTGTGCACTCTTAGATCGTAAGTTTTATTTTTGATAATTTTCAAAAGGTTAATTTTATTTCCATCTAATTTTATCTAAAATTAATATAAAATTTTCTTTTTTCTATTATTAAATATATAATATATTTTTATATAATATAATATATATTATATAATTATTAAATTATTATTATATTATTATTTAATACATTATTATTTATTATATCATTATATTATATTTTTTATATATTTTTATGAACCAAGATTTCAAACGTTTTACACCTATAATTTTTTATTACAGGTTAATTTATTACATTATTATTGTTTTTTGTTTTTCAGGAAAAGGAAAAAAAAAGAAAAGAAAATTAAAATCAGAACATGAAACCCTTGATGATTTTGGGGAAGAATCTACTTGCTCCGATAATAATACCCAAGAATCAGATCAAGCTCGATTGTCTACGTTAAATTTTTTTTCCTACGATAATTCATCAATTCAAGAAAATATGTATTCCAGGTAAAATTCTTATTACTTTTTAAAGTCTAGTTGCAATTAACAATTTTAAAAATATTTGGTTTTACTATATATATATATATCTTTTAAATTTTAATTTAAATAGAGCTTAATCTTTTTAAAATAAAAAAAATTATATTTATTACAGGTCTTATGTGAAACCAACACCCTCACTTTCAGAGTATTTGTTTGCAGAAGATGATAAAGCAGATGATATTGATATAGAAGTAACCAGTGTAGAGTCTGATTTAGATTTAAAAAATCAAAATTTTTCCATGCTTCAAAATGTAAGTACTTTTTTTCTGTTTTTATTTTATTTAAATAATTGTCATTATAAAAAATATAGTGCATGTACAAAAGGGTAATTTATTCTAAAGAAGTTTCACATTCATTGCATGTGCACAAAAGAAATTTTTTAAATTGATACAACTTTTATTGAAACTTAGGAATATATTTTTAATTTTATTTACACAATGGTATTTTTTTAAAAACAATCTGCATAAAATTATAAACATAAATTATTAAAAATATTACTAGAATTTCTAAGAAAATAAGTATTCTTAGTTGTATTTTAAATTAAACAAATACATACTGTTTGTACAAAAAAAAAAAAAAATTGTATTTTTAGTGTGGAATCAAGATTGAGCCCAGTATTAATGAAGGAAGTAATTTAGATTCTCAATGGAGCAATAAATTTGACTTGGAAAATGATTTTCGATATTCATGCAAAAGCCTTTTTACTAAAAATGAATTCTCTAATTGTAAACCTTGGCAAAAAAGTTTTATGGTTTCAGGAAAGTTAGTATTTGAATTTTTTTATAAGTTTTTATAAATATTTTAATATATAGATATGATTCTTTATAATTTAGATATGCATCCGTTAATGAATTTAAAGAAGATAACATTGTTCTTAATTTATCTAAAAAATTACACAATACGTCCAAAATGTCTGTAGCTGATATACGTTTACTCAGAAAACTTAAACTAAGAAGACTGAAAAGAGAAAAAAATTTAAATATTTTTGATATAAACTCGGTATTAAAACGGTCATGGTCGCTATCAAAACCTACTGTTGAATATAGAGTTCTTGATAGGTACTTACACCAAACAGTATTGAATAGTAATGATGGAGAAAAGTTTGAATCATTTAAAACAAGATTGTTGGGAAGCTCAGAACAATATGAATGTTTTGTTAGTCCTTTTACTCAGAGGTGAAAAAAAAAATTTTTTAATTTAATGTTTTGTTTTATAATTTGTCCATACTTGTAATATTATAATTTTTTATTTTTCAGAGTTTTAAAACCATTTATTAGACGGGATTATGAAAGTGTACCAATTTGGTTAAAACTTATGGATGAATTATTAAAAAAAGTTGATCCCAATAGTTTAAAATCTTCTCCTCGAATTCCTATAGACTATACTTATGTTAGACCACAACACATACCAGCTATTAATAGTTTAGCCCAAAGATATTTTTGGCCAGGAATAAATTGTAATTTTTTTTTTAATGAGTATTTGATGCTAGTTTATTTAACTATTTAATAAGTTTTTATAACATTTTTAAATCAGAATTTCTTGTGAATGTCAAGGAATTTATTTTATTCTTATTTTTAGTATCCGAATGTCTTCAATACCCAGATTTCAGTTGTGTTGTACTTTACAAAAAGCTTATAGTTGGTTTTGCATTTCTCGTACCTGATGTTAGTGTGAACGAAGCGTATGTCTCATTTATTTTTACTAGACCCGAATGGAGGAAAGCTGGAATTGGTTCTTTTATGCTTTATCATTTGATTCAGGTATATTATTATTTAAATTTTTACTCCAATCAATTACAGTGTTTTTTAAATTAAATATTTTTTAGACATGCATGGGCCGTGACATAACTCTTCACGTTTCTGCTACAAATCCGGCTATATTTCTATATCAAAAGTTTGGTTTTAAAATGGAAGAATTTATACAAGATTTTTATGAAAAATATTTACCCGGAGGTTCTAGAGAATGTAAACATGCCTTTTTTCTTAGACTTAGTAGATGAAAAAAAAAGTTTAATATATATTTTTTTATTATTATTATTAATTTATAAAATTTTTTACAATTTCCATTATAATAAATTGCCGTATGCTAATAATATAATTTATTTACATACTTACATCTTAAATTAAAAAATAATTTTTAATTTTACAAAAAAATTTATTGCGTTATATATAATAATTATATTTATATATTGATTTATAAACAAAATATTTTAATAAATTAAAAAAAATAAGAAATTAGTCGTTACAAAAAGTAGGAATTATTTTAAATATCATGTTAAAAAATTTAAATAAATAAAAAAATTTTTTTAATTTTCAATAATTATTTTATAGGCGTTTTAGTCAATAAAATATTATATTCAATATAAATAAATAATATAGTTAATAAAATATTCACTTTGTGCATTGATATTAAAGTTTAAAAAAAAAAGAAAGATTTTAAAGATTATTTATAATTCTCTAACATTGATAGTGAAATTTGAAAAGTTATTTGTGCTACAACAAAATATTATGTAATAGATTAGGCACTGCCTGGCACGGGAACCTGATGCATGTTTTTTTTTTAGAATTAAATTTAAACAGTGAAAAAAAAGTCTTAAAAAAATTTGTTGGTGTATACAAACAGATGATTGTCTGAAAATTTTTTCATTTTTTTTTTAAAATAAGACCCTGCTTTAATGAATATAGATAATTAAAGAACTTGACATAATTTTTAAAAAAAATAAAACAAGACAACCGTTAAAAACAACCTTTTGGCTTAAGAAAATTTTTTTTTTTTTAAATACTGATAAAATGAAAAATTACAAATAAATTTTCAATGGAATTGTAACTTCGTTTTCAGTGTTTAGGGTCTATTTAAATTTTAAAAATTAATAATTTTTTTTGTTACCAGACTAAATTAATCACTATCTAAATCTACAAGTGAAGCAGTCAAAGTTTTACTTTGATGGTATTTACGTCGATCAGAAAAATCAACATTATCTTCATTTAACTGATTCGTTGAAGTTGGCACAAAAGGATGTAAAGGCGGTACTACCATTTGTTCAAGTTCTCCACATTTTTTACCAGCAACACGAAGGCAAATGCTTTTTAACCAAAGCAAAAATCTAAAATGATGTGCAAGTCCTGGTTTGACCGCTGGATTTGCTGCTCCCACATAAAACCAAGTTATTACGACAACAATTATGCAAACAAGCGCATACATCCAATCAACCAAAAGCATAATGACGAATTTGGTAATTGCCTATATAAAAAAAAAAAATCACCGTTAGATACAAAACCTACTTCTTTTTATTTAAACATTTTATTTGAAACTTACGCCAAACAATGAAAGCCATCTGTTACACAAAGGAGAATACCAACTTCTAGGTTTAGAATGAACTTGTTTTTCTTCATTATTAATGCTATGATTGTTCAAGTCTGAGTTTTCATTTCCTGAATAATTCTAAACAAAAAGTTTAAAATACGTTTTAAATTTTATTTGAAGTATTCAATAGACTGTTTCAAAACACTTTGCCAAATATTAAATAAATTTTGTACAACATTAATGAAAAAAAAAAAAAAATTGTGGTGGTACAATAAATTTCATCTTGTATACTTACATTTTCCTTTGTTTGATGTTCAGTTCTTTCAGGAAATAGATAATCTAAATCGTTTTCAAAACGATTTCCTGCATATACGGGTTGAATATCCCCATTTTTGTTTGAATCTTCTTTTTTAGAAGTTGCACCGTATCCATGGACTTCCGAATTACTTTGTGATGCCTTGTATCTATTTTTAAATGTATAGTCTTAGTCTCTATTTAATTATTTATTTTAAAAATTTTTAAATTACCTGAAACGTAGCTCATTTTTCAGTTGAATATCAAATGTTTGAGCCAAAGCAAAGTAAGAGTAATCTATGGATGCATAAGTTAATAAAAAAGGCATAGTTATAACAGGTCCCAATGTATTAATATCACCAATTAAAATAAAAGTTAGAGTTACGGTAGCAACGACGATCATAGAATATAATGGAACTTTGTTGGGACCACGCTGTAAAAATTAATCCTTATTTTAATAAAAAATAAATAAATTTTTGATTTATTGATTATTAAAAAAAAAAAAAAAAAAAAAAAAAAAATTCATTAACTTACTCCTTGACCCAGAAATTTTATAACAGGTAAAACGTTTTGATTAGCTATTGACTGCAAAACCCGAGGAGTTCCATACATGGCAGCCAAACACGAAGACATTGATGATACATAAAGTCCGGCCAACAGCAAAACTTCTGTATTAATATAAATTATTAAAATAAATTTAATATTTTAATTGCTAATATTAATGTTTTTACTGATATATTTATTTACAGAATATGGCGACTTACGAATAACGGAAACTTTGGCAGTCATCATAAAATCGGTTAGTAGCGCATCACGTCGACAAGTTGATCCCAAAAACAATATAAAGGTAAGGTAAAGGAATGTTCCCGTGCATATAGCTGCTAAAGATCCATTGGGAATGTCTTTAGAGGGAGCTCTTAAGTCTCCACTCATATTAATACCAGCCATGACTCCCGTGACAGTGGGAAAAAAAACTCCGAAAACAGTAAACCAATTGTAACCATTTTTATAATCAGAATACAGATTTTCCGCAGCATTATTACTCCTCCACCCTGTAAATCCTGATTCTGAAATTTTATTTTTTTTTACTTTAGATTACTCAGATAGTTTTAAACTAACTTGATTTTTCTAATTTTCTTAAAAAATAAAAATAAAAAAACTTATTTTGATTTCAATTACAGAAGTTACATTGGGTTTTTAATTTAATTAAATAAAATTATATAAAAATATATATACATGTAAATGTAACTAAATTTTCCTAAATAAAAACTCAGTTTTTTGTTAAAAAATATTTGATACATACCAGGAGAAGTATGAACAAAGCTACCCACAGCAAAATCTAAGCCAGCCAACAATAAGATAAGAAGTAAAATAAATTGAAGTTTCACAACCCATTTAACTCCAGCAAGATTGATCACACTGAGTAAAATCACTGCTAAACTTGCAAAGCCTCTTACTGCCCAAGTAGAAACGCTAATGTCAATAAGTCCTGCAATAGATTCTCCAAATCCTAAAACATACAGTGCACAACCAACAGCCTAAAATGAATAAAATTGTTATTGCAAACTATTAAGTTTTTAAAATATTTTTATGCTGCCTGAGTAAGAAAAATAAAATTTTCAATAATAAGCAAGAGGAATATTGAGAACATACCTGTCCGAAACAATAAATCAAACCAATGGAACCACCATATCGAGATCCTAAGACATGTGAAATAAGAAAATATACACCTCCACTTTCCATTCTACATCGTTCACATATTCCAACAGCAGATAAAACTGATATCAATGCAACAGATACTGAAAATTAAAATTTATGTAAGAAATTAAAAAAAACATTTAATAATAATACTAAAAAGTAAAAATTACAAAAATAATTACAGACTTGTTCCAAAACATCATTCAAGGCCAATTATTTGTTACTATAAAATAAAATTGAATAACTCAGTTTAACTTTAATACCTGTAGCAAAAACAATTAATATAGCATTTAAAATCCCAGCTTGAGCTACTATCCAGCCTGATCTTAAGAAAACTATGACACCAAATATATTAATAAGGCATGAAGTGAAAACACCATCCCATTGTCCAAAAAGAACTGGCTCAGATATAAAAAAATTGGATTTCCACCAAGGTTTGTGTTTCTGTAATTGTACAATAAAAAAAACATATTTTCACTAAGTTACAATACCAAATAAAAAAAAAAGTTCTTGTCAATTTAGTTCAAATTAATGAAAATTTTTTTACCCCAAAAAAAAAAATTGTACTATAATAATGAAAAAAGAAATTTAATGTAAAAATGTATTACCTCTTCATTTGCAAATAATTCATTTCCTTCTAAAGCTATATGACCTCCTCTTTCAAATCCATCATGATTCAAGTCAAATGAGGAGGAATTATTCGAATTAGAAATTTCATTAAGGCCAAATTTATCCCATTGAATTTCATTAGATTTTGCTTTTTCAGACTTTGATCGCATCATTATGAGTGCTTTAAACTTTTTTGTTTAAATAATAGTAAAATTTTTGTCAATATATACAGTGAAAAAAACCTAAAAAAAAAAAAAGTATAATTTACTTATAAAAGACAAAGAAATAAGGCTATTAAAAATAAAATTTAGCTATTTAAAAATCAATTCATGGTAATTTTAAATTATTCATCATTCTTGAAAAATATTATCAGATGTACATTTATTAAAATAATTCAAAACTTAAGATTAATGTAAAACTATATTATAAAATTAATATAAATATATATATATAAATTTTACTGATAAGTAAAATACAAATTACAAGATAAGAAAATTACAATTTTTCAATATGTTTCTAAAAACATATTTAAAAATATTTTATTTTAAATAGTTACCTTTTTGATAAATTGCACTTCATCAGAAATTTATGATGATTTTATATTTTCATATATAAAATATTAATTTTAAATTTTGTCACAATTAATTTAGAATAAGAGTTAAATTTGTAATGTCAATTATTTTTATGGAGATCGATTAATACTAATTGTTCAAGTATCACAAGTCATAATAAGTGGGCATAAGTTGTTATTTTACAGATTTCATTTGACAGCAGAAGGTAGTTAGTTATCTCGTGAATACGGTGATTTAACTTTTGACGCCTAATCGTAACTTATCAAACGTAGTGGCGACAACTGCAACGTCAATTACTGAATATTATTATTGTTATGAATTTTAATTATAATTTTAAAATCCAATGTTTTTTTAATTTATAACAACTTTTTTAATGCACAAATGCGTACTTTTTATACGCTTAGGTGATCACAAATTTTATTTTACATAAAACTGTATAATATAAAATGAATCTATGAATCTAGGATTGCTAAATAGGGTTAATAATAAAGTGCGTTATGTTTTGTAACAAATTTTTTTTTTTTGAGTTTCCGTTGAAAAATATTAATTCAATTAAATTCTTACATTAGGACATTTACTTCGGAGGAATGTATTCAGAATGGACTTCTATAAGTTCTCATTTCCAGTGGCTGAATGATGAAAGGAATAGCGTACTCACAAAGTACCCAGATTATGTAGGAAGAAACGTTGTTACAACAGTTCTCAAGCCATTAGCTTCTAATTTAGGCATAACTCAGGCATCCGAACCGAGTCCGTTCATGTCAGACGATGAAGTGCTATGGAATATGCAAGTGAGTTGTAAATTTTAAGTCTATTGATAAGGAAACAGACAAAACAAATTTTTTTTTTTTTACATCATAGGTCATTTGTTATGGTCTCAGCCTCCCTTTTTCAGAGCATGATATTATAAGAGATTGTGTGTCAGTTTATTGTGAATGGTTAAGTTCTCTCAATCCAGTTCCAAAGGTTAGTGTACCTCATCCAGTTTGTGATGATCCTAATTTATATGGAAGAAAAATTATTTGTCATTTTTACAATTTATTTGTTCCTAGGAAAGGAGAAGGTATTAAACAGATTTAATTTTTTTTGTTTTCAAAAATTTTTGTATTATTGACACACCATACAATTGTTATATTTGTTATTGTAGCTCCAGATACAATTAATAAACAAGCTGTTTTATGTCATAGAGTATTAAGAACAATTCAAAGTATTGCCCAAACTTCAAAAGTAATAAATCAAGAAACTTGGGAAACTTTACTATTGTTTCTTCTTTCTATTAATGACACAATTTTATCTCCTCCTGTAATAAAAGGTAATAATATATTTCATTAATTACACTTATATATTTGTTTTTAATATTTTAAAACTATGCTTAAAAATTACTAAGCTGAGTTGAAAGTATGATATTTTCATAATTTAAAATAATTTTTTATTAATCATTTATTGAATAATTAATTTTTGTTAATAGAGCTTTTCACGTGTTAGTTTAAGTTTTATTTGAACTATTTTTAAATTATTAAAATGTTTTTTTTTTTTTTTTTATTCATTCTTATTTTATTTTATTCTTTTATTTTTTTAGATGATATCTGTGATCAGTTAAGTGAAAGAGTTTTAAGTGTACTATTGGAAGTATGGCTTTTGGCCTGTGTAAGATGTTTTCCATCTCCTCCTTTATGGAAGACTTTAAAAGAAATGTGCTTAAATTGGAGACATCGAATTGCTTTGATTGAACAATGGAATAGAGTTCATCTTGTGCTGATGTCCAAAATTTTAGGATTTCTTTTCGGTCCTAACTATCCTCCACTAAAAATATGTAAGTACAGTATTTAAGCCAGTATATTTCATTAAAAAAAAATTTATTATATCTGTGAAACTGAAAAATTTTATTTTTATTTTTTATAAATCAAATTTAAAATCTGAACGGTGGCTAATGAAATCTGCAGTGAAAAACTCAGAATTGTAAAAGTTATTAAAAGTTTAACAAAAAATTTAAAATTTAATTGCAGTTAAAACGAACTAAATAAAGCGGATGATTCATATAGTAGTAAATAATATTTAAAAGATTGAATTTAAAAAATTTTAATGTTTATTACTTAATTATGTAATTTATAGGTGAAGATGATGTTCAACTCATTCCAGTTGATGCCACAGCAGATTGTATTGTACAATCCTGGTATAGGTTTCTTCATTGCTTGGGTAATCCAGTTAATCTTTGTAAGCCCTCTGTCATCAGTCAAACCCCTGAATTTTTACAATATGCAATTACAAATGATTCAGTGGTTGATCCATGTCAACATCCTTGTTTAAATGCTCTTCCCCAAATTTTTCTTAAAGCCATAAAAGGCATAGCTGGTGAAGTTGATGCTTTTCTTGGTAAGTGTAATGTCAATATTTCATTATTTATAAAAAATTTATTATTTGATTGTTCTTACTCAAAGTGGCAATTCAGTTTTCATACAAGACTTTTAAAATTTCAGAAGTTTAAGTAATCAAGTCTATTATCATATTCTATTAAATGTATTATATTATACATGTTTGTTTTAAAAATATAATAAAAAGAAATTGTATACATTTTTTTAAATTCGTTGGTTCGAGTGACCATAAGTTGACCGAATTTAAAAATGTGTGTACCACAATTGTTAAAGGTTTACTTGGGAAAATTTATATTAATGACTATGTTAATATAAATTTATTAATGTATAAAATAAAAAAATTTTTTCATACTATTTGTGTTATACAAAATGTGTATATTTCGGCGGTTTTATCATGTATTTAAATCTTTAAATATAGCACAGATAAAAGTTTAAAAGCTTCAATCTTATATTTACAGTCGCAAATAACGCAAAATTGAAAGCCTACGTTTTTTTCTGTCGCGTATATATTTTACTTACTTCTTAAATATAGCTTTTTTTTATGGGTAAAAGGTTAGTTTCTTCCGCTCATGACTAGTTCATACCTTTTATTTTCATAAAGTTATCATTGCACACTTTTTACTAAATGTAAAAAATATAAAAAAAATAAAATAATTTTTTTTAACTTTATTATGCTAAAATTTATTAGTATGATTTTTGGTGGGGGATCAATATGTATGATTTCAGGAATTTGTTCAAGTTGTCTTTATGAAGAAATCACCGGTTTTAAAAAAGAAATGGATCTTCTGCCATCAACTCAAACGCCTCCCACCCAGAGGCGTCTTCCTAAGAGCTTAAGTGTTGCACCTTCTTCTGTTGCAAAGGGTATTTTTTTAAGTTGCACCTTTTTTTTTTTCTTGCTTATTTAAGAGCACAAAGCTTTTTCTCGGTGTGATTGGAATTAATTTTTTTTTATTTCTAATGGCGGTAAATATTTATCACACGTACTCGTATTTTAAAAAATTGCATGCTTCTCAAATGTAACAATATTATCATAATTAAATTATTTATGTATTTAATTATTATAATTTTTATTTGGTCATTGCTTATTGAAAATATGCATCAAACGACGAAATAACATATTGTAAAAATTATAAATAAAATTGTTAATGTTTTTAAATAGATATTTCATAATGTTATGTCAAAATTATCATCATTTGAAATAATTTCAGTATTGTATTGTAATTATCAAAGCAAGTATTTTACATTTATAATATATATTACATTGTTTTGCAAAATATCAATTTAAAAAAAAAAAAAAAAAAATTATTTGTAGAAAATTTTATTTAAATTTATCACATGTTTAAAATACATTTAATTATTTGTTAATTTAAGGAATACCAAAGGCAGCTTTAATAGGTCTTACCAGTAGTAGAACAATCGTGCACTCATCTTCGGTTTCTAGTTCTGGGCCTACGAGTAACGTTAACCAATCAAGTAAGTTTTAAATAATTTTAATAATTAAAAAAAAATTTACTGTCAAGCCATTAGGTTTTGATACTTTATAATTTAATATGATGCGTTTTTATCTTTCAGTGACTTCTTATTCGACTTCCGAAGTAAAACCAGCTTTTGCACCCAGCAGACCCAAATGCAACAGTATATTACACTTTTTTGGAGATTGGTTATTTGAGGCTGCCAATATCGGAATTCATCATCGCATTTTTTCTTCAAGTAATACACTCTTTCAAATAATTATTACTAAATCTTATAAAATTATCAATGTTATTTTTTTTTTTTTTTAATTTTAAAGCAGGTTCTAAAATCAATCTTACGCCTTTCGTAATTGATAGTAGAAAAACAAGTTCTAATTCATCTCAACCTTCTTCCTTGACCGACGATAGCGATTTATTTGATGCAACTACAATGAATAAATTCGAAGCGGGTCGAGCTGAAGCCTTTGGAGCTCTTTGTCGCATTTTCACCGCCAAAAAAACAGGAGAAGAAATTTTACCCGTATACCTATCTCGATTTTATATTTCTCTTTATTTAGGACTTCAAAGTCACGAAGTAATTAATAAAAAACCGTCATGTAACTAACTGTTGTTAAATCCTAAAAGTGATCACTTAAAAAAATTTTTTTTTTTTTTTTGTTTAAATTTTAGAATCGAGAATGTACAGATGTTATTGCTAGCATTCTAATTAATTCTACTGATATATTTCGTCTCGATTTGGACGGAGTATTGATTCTTCTTCCATCATACATAGAAGCTTTAGAATTGGTTTTTTTTAAAGGGTCCAAAACATTAAACGGATTCAAAACGGAACTTCGTCAGGCTTCTATTCAATTATTATTATCAATGATTGCTCTTCCGCTACATTTTCAGGTTTGTTATATGATAAACCGTTAAAAAAATAATTAATTTAATTAAAAATTAAAGAATGGTTATGCATACATTTATTCCAATAGGATTTGCAAATAAAAGAAATGTTTCCAATTCATTCCGAGGAAAAAAATTTAACGGTAGGGGAACTAAAATCAAGACTTTTAAATTTGCTGATAACCGCTTTGGAAGTAGAAACTGATCCAATTAATGTTCAAATGCTTTTGGGAGGCCTTATACTAAGTGTAGAAGATTCAGCTTGTTCTGAAGAGGAAGAATCTGTTATGCAACCCGACAATACTTCAAATTTAATATCATCAGGCAAGTAATTTCAATGAAACTAATTTTTTTTTTTTTTTCTAAGTGCAATTTGTATTTAATTGCAATGCAATAATTTTTACATAAAAATTTTTATATAGGGTCAGATGCATCTTCGGGTAGGAGTTTAAGTCAAGTCGATCGAAGAAGTTTAGGAGATTGGACGGATTTTTCCCACGATTCTATCAATGGTAAAAAATTACATTGTACATTTAAGTGTTGTAAGCAACACTTTTTTTTTTTTTTTTTTTCCACATTGTCGATATGGAACTAAATGTTAATAATTTTCTTTCAGATTGCGCTCATGGATTATTTATTAGTACAACATACCTAGTGTGTCAGCGTTTGATATCGTCATGGAAAAGTGAATTAAACGTTTCATTGGCTGCTTTGGAAGTCCTTTCTGCCCTCGCTCGCATTTACGTAAAATACTCTGGTAAGTAATTTTACAAAAATTTTAATAAATATTTTTTAAATTTTATACATGTGGTATTTTTCCGTAGATATTTTAGAATCTAAAAGAGCAGTAAAGTGGCTTTGTGACTACATAGTCATACAATGCAACCGACCTCCACCCGCTCATTCTAAAGACCTTCATAGTACAATTGTTGCTGCTTTTTCATGTTTATCCGTTTGGCTCGTTTCTCATCCAATACTTTTAAACGACAAAGATTGTTTTTCCACAGTTATGGATGTCGTCGAATTAGGAATTTCAGGTTCTATATCTCAGGTGAATAATAACTATGTTAAATTGTGCCATTTTTTTGATTTTACCTTCAGTTCGAAAGGTATGAAAATTTGAAAAGAAATATTTTCATTTATTCAATTGTTTACATTATCTTTAAAGCATAAATCACGAATATTCGTTTCGTTCTTCAAGTCTAATTTATATTTAAGTAAAAATACTTGTGAAAATTTTTACCAGTTGTTCCTAATAAAAATTATAATTTGTTTTTTTTTTTTTTTTTTTTGTAATTATTAACGTACTAATGAATTTTTTTTCTTTCAGGGTAAGGCAGGTGAGCCAGTAAAAATGAAAGATCAGAAAGAACTTAAACCGGCATCCATGAGAGTTCGAGATGCTGCAGAAAGTCTTCTTAATCGTATATTAGAGCAGGTAAGAAATAAAAAAAAAAAAAAAACATTATTATTTTCATCCTTTTACTTTTTTATTTTTTAACAAAGAGATTTGAATTGAATATAACTCTTATTTTATTATTTACTTTAAATTTTACATTTTCTCTTATTCAAGGTGGGTTATTTTCCATCTCCTTGTGGAGCAGAATCATTGTCCTCACTTTTAGATGAAATATCTCTTCTAAAGTATTGTAACTCATGGCCAGGAGGTGACATTGATCGAGTTAGTGCATGCCAGAGATTTAAGTATTTCGTTGTTGATAATAGCATTTTGTTGGCTTTATTGGAAGAACCATTAGGAAACGATCAAGGTCGGTTAGTGGACTATTGAAATATAAACCCTTCGAAAAAAAAAAAAAAAAATATTTAAGTCCTTCATTTTTATTATTTTCTTTCTTTTTAATTTAGATCCTCAGCCAACTGTCACTGTAATAATAAGAGGTCCTTTTGGCCGTCATGCGTGGACTATGCAACTAAGGCATTTACCTAGGCATAAATCTGGTATTAAACATCAGCATACCTCCAATCCGGGAAGGCCAATTCCAATAAATGACGTAGGACTTAAATACGATATTAAACATCAGCATTTCCCTGATAATATTGAAAAAATACCATTGTGTAAAGTGTATGTATTGCATGTAAAACTTATTTTTTAACATTTTTCAAAATATATATATATATAATTGTATATTTACTTTTAATAATTTAATAATATTTTTCTTTTAATTATATAATTATGGTAAATGTTACGTTTCAGAGATAAATCCATTCCCAGTATGAGATCTCTGACTCTTGACGAAAAACTTTCGGATGAACAAACAAAAATGATTGAATTACTTGAAAATCAATTGGAATTAGAAGAAGCCATTAAAAGAATTGGTCAACAATCGGAAAGATCGTTAGAGTTCCCGGATCCTGATAGAGAATGTTATCCTCCATCTGTAAAAAATGAATTTCAAACAGCAAGACTTTTTCTTTCACATTTTGGCTTGCTTTTTCTCGACTCGGAAGTGGTAATTTCAATTGTGTACTTTTTTTTTGTTGTTTAAATCAAACACATAATAATTTGTTTTTTTTTTTTTTTTTTTTTTTTTTTTAAAGAATCATTTAGCTACTCCTCTTGTAATGCTTGACAACAGTATTCCAGGATTTTGTACTGATTTGGAAGCTTTGGACTCAATCAGTTCTAGAACTTGTGACACCGTCCACGTATTTTATGTTCGCACTGGTCAAAAAAGCGTACAAGAAATTTTATCAAATGCAGTTAGTATTCTTTGAATATTTTTTCTTAAATTAATTTTATATTATTAGTTCTTTTTAACAATTTTAAATACTAATGTTATAATAGGCAGCGGATAGTGTTGTCGATCCCCGTTTTATGGAAATGTTAGATTCATTAGGATGGCCGGTCAACGTTCATCAACATCCTGGATGGACAGGAAACACTTCTACTAGTTGGAAAGTTCAATCCTTATCAAAGCAATGTAAATTTAAATTTTTTTTCTCTCTCTCTCTCTCTCTCTTTTAATCGACTCTCTTTTTAAAGACTCTAATCTTTTCACCATCCATTTCACATTTCTACCCGATTTCAATTTCTTTGAAGTGAATGTGTTAATTAAAAAAATTTTAATTTATTTTATTTTATTTTTTAATAGTTGAGGACGATTGTGATAAAAACAATCCTTGCATTTATTCTGGGGATAAGTACATTCTTTATTGGGCTGACATATCTTCAGAAATAGCGTTTATTGTACCCACTCAAAAATCCAATATTCAAATTCAACTTGAATCCGATCCTTCTTTGCTTCTAGGCAAACAAGGTAAAGTTTATATTAAACTGTCATTATTTATTAATGCGAAATTGTTATTTATTTTAATTATAAAAAAAAAAATCTTAGAAATCTTATTATATATATATTCAAATATGTAAAAAATTTATTGATATTTTATTTCAGTGATAATTATTGTTATTATTATTTATATTTTAGGATTGTGCGAGAAAAATGTTTTTGCTCAGGCTGTAAATAATCAAAATCAAAACCAATTTAAAATGAAAACTGGTTCACTTGATTTGGATAAAAATGACAAAGAAAAAGTCGAACCGACAAGACCGGGAAGACGACTCGGAGTTTTAAAAAATCAGCCATTTATGAATCCTCCAACAAAAGTCATGCTTGTTTGGTTGGAAAGCTACGAGGATCACATAACATTTCCTGTAGGTTAGTTAGTGAGTGTCTGTGTGTGTATGGGTGTGTACATTAATCTTTAGAACCATTAAAGAACTTTTTGTATATACCCGTGTGCGTGTGCGTGTGCATGTGTGTGTGTGTGTGTGTTGGCTAGTGTATAATAATTTAATTTAAAAACTTTCAGACGGTTTACTCGGATATTGTAACACTGGCCTTGAAACGATGCCACAAAAACCCGAAGATACTTACGTTATATTTCTTCATGCTCTTAGTAGTGGTTTGTTAAGAGTAAAATTACAAGGTCCCACTGGAAGAATGTCTTTATCCATTCCTTTGGTTGATGGAATTGTCGTTTCTGAAAGAACGCTAAGTTCGTTGGTTAGACAGACTGCTCTAAATATTTGTAAGAGAAAAAGATTAGACAACGACAGGTAATTAAAAATCAATTTTATGGTGTCTTTTATACATATATTGATCTGTGTAAAATAATAATATAATAAATGTTATTGCATTTCTATAGTTATCATCCACCTCATGTGAGAAGAAGGCTTAAAGTTCAAGAATTTACATCCCGATATAAACGAAATTTAACACATTCTCAGCTTCTCAGTTTTTTGTTTTCTTAATAATGTAATTTTTTAAATTATTTTTCTTCTTTAAATATATATATATATTTATGTTTAATAAAATATGTTTATTTATAACAATTATTTAATTTGAAATTAAAATTTTTTAATTTTAAAATTGAGATTTTATTTCAATTTTCTAAATTTGCTTTCACCTACTTTCTATCGAATACCAATTCACAACCCTTTATTATTGGCATTTGAATATAAATTTTTATTTATTTATTTATTTTTTTTAATCACGTAAATAATAAAGAAATTGTTATAGCCATATAGCCAGCGTTTTGTAAAACGTGGGGTAAATAAAATTATCCGATTTATTCAAATTAATTTTATTTTAAATATAGCAGAAAGCTTTTTTTTTAAAAACAATCAACAAAAAAAAACTAACATATTTTTATATTTAATTAAATGTTCAGAAAATCAACAGTGCCTTAAATAATAATAATAATAATAATAATAAAAATATAAAAAGGTAAATGTGCGCAATTTGCGTATTTGTGAATGGATGACTCTTTAAAATATATTAAATATGTTGTCTTCAAATTATTCGTTTAATGCCTGTACTGAACCCTGTAAAAAAAAAAAAAGTGATTCAATTGAATCCACATGGTTATCTTCTTCAGATTTTGGTGAATGTTACACTCGATCCTTGGTAAGTTTACCTCATTTTTAATAATTAAATTTTTATTAAAATCTCCTTTTATTACTGTTCTGTTACATTTTTTTTTTTTAAGGACAGCCATTCGTATCCGTGTTTGATTCTCGTGTTCAATGGGAAAAATCTTGATATAAAACCGGATGTGATTCACGAAAGTCTCTCTGCGATATCAATAAAACATTATTATGGAAAATGCTACGATGAAACGAATGTAAAAGATACTGAAAAAGAAATGGAAGAAATTTATTATCAACCGGATGAATTGGGCGGACTGGAATTATTCGGATCAGATTATAAAACATTGTCGTCTGTAGGTTCCAAATCAAGCGGTAAAATTTATAATTCTTCTCCTGAAGAATCTTCAGTAACGGATGATACGTTACCCATTTGTGTGAGGCAAAAAATAAACGTGAGCCAAATATAAATTTTAATATATTTAAATTTAAAATAAATTTAATAATTTGATCATTTTAAAAATTAGCTTTTAAAAACCTTAGTGTAGAAATTCATTTTGGAATCTTCATAAACCGGAACTTTGTAAATTAACGTGGCCTCAAAAATACGTGAGTAAGGCTACCGTCATAGATCATTTGCACGAACATTTAATTAATCACGGTCCCCTTTGTGCGGATTTTCACGAAGAAACCGACAGAATTTCCATGCTTAACACTGAATTAAACGAATACGGAAGGTTAAAGTAAGATTTTCTTAAGCCTTTGATACGGTTCTGAACGCATACGCGCCCCTAAAGAATTTTACGATTTGAAATTTATTTTCAGAGTTTTGGCATCGCCTCGAGTTTTACCCCCCGAAGAAACATCTTTTTATTTACAAAAAAAGAATAATAATAAAATAAAAAATGCACTTTCGAATTTCAAATGTAAAGGGATTACAATAAGAAAACCTGTACTTCAGACGGAAGTAAAATTTATTCAAATAGACGACGATGATGATGAAATAATTGAAAGAAATAATAATTTGCGGAGGTCAAAAGGTGAATTTTGTCTCACAATAGGAAAACATATTCGAAAACCGCCAAAAATAAAATCATCAACGGAAGTTGAAGACGCACAAAGTCATTTGGACTTACGCGTTGGTGAAGAAGAAGAAGGTACGTTATATAATAAATATCAGTTTATATAATTATATTACTATAAATTTCGCGTAATAATAAATAATAAATAAATTTATTTATTTCAGGAGATTACTTTTACTTTGATTGGCCACAAAACAACGAAGAAGAATCATTTGCTGAAGACGATACCGGTCAATATATTCTTTTTCCTCTCTCTCTCTTTTTAAAAATTAATATGGAACCATAATATATATATATATTTTTTTTATTTTAGATGAAACTTCAAATGATGTCGAACTACTTCCGATTCCTTTGATCGAACCTTGTCCCATATTGGCAATGGACGACTTTTGTCGAGCTGCCGCAAAAGCTGATTTTAGCGATTTAAGATGTCATCCTGATGATTTTTAATTAATAAAACCAAATTTTAAATAAAAAATTACAAAATTTAAATTACGTAAAGGTAAATTATTATTATTAATATTTTTTTTTTTGTTAAAATTAAATATATGAAATTTACGTCATCGCGTTATTAACAATTAATTATTAATCGTTGTTCGTAAAAAAAAAATATGTATAAATAATAAATTGTTTTTTTTTATTTTGTTTTTGTTATATTTTTTATACATAATTTTTAAAAAAATATTCATATTTAAAATTTAATTCCAATTTTTATAAACTTCAAACTTCCATATAAATATTTATTTATTTAAAAAGGATAAAATTATTAAAGTTAAAAAAAAAAGTTTTAATTTAAATTTATTTTTATAGTTTTATTTAAAAATTTTTTTTTTTTTTTTTTTGTATGGGGAACATAATTAACAAGTATAATATATATTTTTAAAAAAAATTTTGTTTGTTTGGTAAAACCAACGGCTTTTCAACATTACAATCAATCATTTAAATAATTAATTATATTTAAAAAATTATTAAAAAAATATTTTTATTAATAAAAATTAATTTATTTTTTTGTTTTAGTCGTTATATATATTAATTCAAATATTTATTGAATGTTAATATTTATTAAAATATACACGTTCAAAATATTTTAATAAATTTATCTTATGTCAATATATTTAATTGCAAACGAGGTTAAATTTAATTATTATTATTATTATCGTAGTGAAACCACTTTTAAAGAAAAAAAAATTAATTAATATAATTGTTTTTTGATATTTTATCCTTTATTAATTTGCGTTCGGGTTTTTTGTTTTTAGTTAAATGAAATTTTTAAATAATTAATAAATATGTAATTATTAAAAAAAAAAAACTTAATTCTATATATTTTTTTTTTTTTAAATGTATCTTAAATTGTTATTATTAACGTTACGTTTTTATAGGTATGGAATTTTTAAAAAAAAATGAAAATTTTTTTTTCTATACGTATATGAAAATAAAATAGATTTTTACTTTATGTACAACTTTTATCACAATTTTCTTTTTTTTTTTTTTTTTTTTTTCTTATTGTATCGTCGGATAAATGAATTTAAAAAAAAAAAAATTAATAAAATTTGGCATGATAATTATCACAAATGGGTTAAAAAAAATTAATAATAATTATTTAACTGTAAAAAATAATTTTTTGACGTTAAAAAAAAAAAAAAACTTTTATTTTAAAACTGATTTTTTTTTAAAGGCATCTTCTTTGGTTTTTTTTTTTTTTTTTTTTTTTTAAACTTATGTAGTAAATAATTTAAATCTTTAATCATAATTTAGTCAAAAATCGAAAAATGTTTTAATAATTTTAATGCTATAAAAAAAAAAGAAAGAAACTTTTGTTCCATTGGTTTTTTTGTTGCATTCACCCAGACTTTTATATTACAATTTAACTAGAATGAGATCCGACGACTTGATTATGCGCTAACATTAATATATCTTTTTTTTCTTTAGGAAAACGCAATTCTCGTCCTGCTAGTCTTGCTGTCTCTAACTCTCTCTCTGCTAAACTTAATTCTTTACCCAATGCTCCAACATTTTCATGTTCTCTTGCTATCCAATCCAAAGCCATTTGAGACCTCATATCGTCGTCGAGAGCTCTGTTTGAATAATGAGCTACCACTTCTTGTCTCGAACATTGTCTTTCTCTCATGGCTTTTAAACTTCCGTTCCAATGAAGAAGTTGAAATACAGTCATTAATTCTTGAAATTCTAACATTGTTCTACCTTTATTGGCTTCTAACATAAAACGAAAGGCTCCCACTCCCGTATTCGGATTATCTGCTTCCGATGGATTACCCTTGAAAAAATATAGAAAATGTATTATATGTCTTACCTACTCTGCTTCCAAGCCACGTGGAAATGTAGAACAACGTGCACGAAAATTCACGTGCATCTTTATATCATTATTCATAATAATGGGTTTACCTTAAAGGAAGCTCTAGCTTCAGCAACAGCTTTTTCTATAAAATCATCAGAAATTTTTCTAGAAGGATGCTCGTTAAAAACGGAATTCATAAGAGCTATCTTGGCGGCACTTCTTCTGGCCTCGGCTTTTGTCGGAGAATTCTAAAAAAAATTTTATATTAATTGGACATTAACTAATGAAAATTTTTTTTTTTTTAGTTGAAAATATAAGAAAATATGGCGGAAGAGGATTACGTTAAATCAAAGTGAGTACAACAACGTTACCATCATGATTATGTACAATTAATCAAAACGGAAAAATATATTGAATACCATCAAGAACATCATCCATCTTAAATTATTCTGCAGTGGAGGAAGAAAAAGTTACGAGAAGAATATTTAAAAGGATCAAATAAATCGTCGAAGAAAACCAAGAAGGTAAGATGTAAATTCACAACATTAAAAATTTAATAATGTAAAAAATAAGAAAAGTGAATAAGATATTGATTAAATATTTATTTTTATATAAAACAAGAGCAGACAAAAAAGAATCAAGAAATCAAATCAAATCAAATCAATGAAGTTAAAGCCACATAACAGTCAGAAACAAGTTTCTAATTTTAAAAAAAAAAAAAAAATAGTTAAAAGGATTGGGTAACGGTTATTTTTTTTTTTTTATACGTCGGTTTGTTTGAGCTGAATTTTTTTTTTTTTTTTTTTTTTTTTTCATTTACTTTTTACTGAACAGTAATTAAAAAAGGAAAAAAAAAATTACCTTTTTTTTTTTTTTAATTATTTGTTTTAATTTTTTTTAATTAATATGAATTTCTTTGAACTTAACCTTTAAAAAAAATTCATTTTTAAATGCTGTTAACAAATTAAAAAAAAAAAGGTTTTGAAAAACAAACCTGAAAACTACCAAAACACGATCCTCCCGGAAGGGTTACGTAACACACATATGGCGGACTAGAAGAAGGTACAGATTCATAAATAACAAGAGCTCCATTTCTAAGATCGGCTCCTCTCGCTTGTTTCATTTGCCAAAATTCTTGCAAAGCTTCTACAACGTTAACTATAAAAATCAAACAATAACAAAAAAAATATATAAATTCATATATTAAATTAATTTATTATTATTATTATTAAGATATGGATGGGGGGGGGGGAATTTTATTTTTCGAGATCGTATGACAACAATCACATAAGTTAAGGTTTTTTTTTTTCATTTCGATTCTTCTGGAATTTAAATTTATTGTTTATGACAACGTCGGGATTTATCATTATTATTATTATTAAATTTTTCGTTTCGATTCAACCTTTTGATCAAATTTTAAATTTATTATGATGAAGTTAAATCACATGTATATATATATATATATATATATATATATATATATATATATATTTTTAATTTTAATTTAAAAAAAACACAACATAAATTGAAGAACATAACATGAATTGAAGGGAACAACATGAACAACAACAACAACATAAAAGCAATAAAGATGAACAGAAGTAAAAGACCCTCAATAACGGTATTCCTTTGTCTAGAAACGCGTGAATGAAAGAAATGGAAGGGCAGGATTGAGAGAAGAGTACTGGAGCCGATTGGAAGTGGTTTTTTTTTTTTTTTTTTTCAAGAAATCAGATTCATTTTAAATTATGTTAACGTCTTTTGTACTTTGCTTTACTCATAATCCACTATTGAACATTTAATTTATTATTATTATTAATTTATACATACATAATATTTGATTACGTAAAAAAAAATGAAAATTTTTTTAATGAGAATGAATGATGGAATGGAAAAAATTTTCAAAAATTTTATATATATTATTCGAGTTTTTAATATTTCTGATAATTAAATAACTCTTCTATTGGAATAAAAAAAAAAAAACAAAAATGTTTGCTTGGGGGAAAAAAAAAAAAAATTTTTTTTTATTAACTGAACAAACGAATGATAACTGCTAATATAAAAAGTAAATATGGCTTTTTTTTCTTTTATTTTTTGTCTTGGTAAATAAAATGGTTCCAAGTACACAGTTTTTTTTTTTTGTTTTTTTTTGTAAAGGTATTCAAGCCTAAAAAATAAATTTTATTTGGTTTATTAAAAGGATTAAAAGAATTTTTATGATAATAAAAAAACGCAAATGTTAAATATTATTTTTAAACCATGGGGGGAAAACAAAAAATTACATTATTTATTGGGGTTAATGCCTATTGTTGTTGTAACAAAACAGAAATTTTTGTATATCGACCACCTTCATGTCGACAATGACAGGAAATTCATTAAATATTTTTTGACGATATACAAACGTGATTAAACTTAACCAGTAAAAAAATTTTCAACCGACCGAATCAATCGTTTAAAATATTAATTACCTAAATAAATAATTGAAAAGTTTTCCCAAAAAAAAAACGCAAAAGGTTGCATGGACAATACCTGAAAAGGACAAACGTTTCTCACATAAACAAAAGGAGCAGACAGACAATCGGTCGCATCAATTTCAAGATTACAGGTTGTCAGAATTTGTCGAGTGAAAAGGGTAACAATTTCGATCAATATCGTGGGAAATCACAAAATTTAAAAGAAGAAACCGTACAAAAAAAAAATGGCGTTCTCCGAAAAATTAGTATAAATAGTATTACACAAGCGAAATTTGAAAATTAATTCCTAAGGAAATCCAGTGGAAAACTTGTCGTAATTAAAAATAATAATAATAATAAAAAGTTTTTCTGTTGGAATATCATAAATTGTTAATGTTGAGAAAAAATTTTTTTAAAAGAAAATGATGCAATATATTAAGTAGTAGGACATGGAAAAATTCCCATCATATAAAGCAACCTTATCATTCTTATCATTATTATAAAATAATTAGTCAACAACAACAAAAGTCGATAAAAAATTAAATATATTTAAATTTATAGAATCAACAAATAATTATAAACGTCAAAACTTATATATATTAAATAAATATAATTTGGTTTTTTTTTTTTTTATATCGGCCGCGATATTCTCATTGAAAAAAAAAAAACGAGTTTTGTAATTAAATGTTTTGACATTTAAAAAAAATGTTTTTAATAAAATTATTATTTTAAAATTTTCATCAATAAATATATATTTTTTTTTATGTACATAAATATACATCTTGTTGTAAGGCCGCCTCATTATTATTAAACAAATAAATATCTTAATTTTATAGGATTTTAGTTATGTTTTTTTACGATTCGTCGCAACGTTATTATTATTATTATTATTTCCCCCCTCCCCTCATTACTCCGTCATTTCATGTGTCGTACAGAATCACGAATAAATAAATAAATTTTTTTTTTTTTCTTTTAATTATGCAATTGTATATAAAGGATGTTGTTGATTTTACGTGTGACTGCCCTTTCCTCTCCCTCCCTCCCCATCGGGTTTAAATCCATTACAACCCCGGGTAATACAATAAAATACCCATTTAAATCGAGTGTCCGAGTTCTAATTCCCCAATTACAGGGAAAACATTTTTTACGTAACGCGGGCGTAACAAACAAGCTTAAGATTAAAGTTGGCTCAAACTGGTTTAACTGCGTTTTTTTTAAAATTTATTTTGACTAAAGTTAGTTCTTTTATTTCGTTTACTCCACCACAATGACCAAAAAACAAATAATACATACATACATACATGTACAAATTTCTAACTGTTTTCCTTAAAGTAATAATAATAGTTATAAAAAAAAAGAAAAGTTTGCGAATTAATTTTTTTCCCCCCCATATTTATATTACATAATTTTTCTTTTTAAAATGATTCGAAAAAAAGAAAATTAATATTTAGCTTACCTTGTATCGGAAAATCCTCCGATGTAAAATGTAAAATTTGAGAATGCGAAGAAGGTGGTCGAAGCCAATATGGCAGCTGTTGCTGCTGTAATTGGCTGTCGGTTAACACCATCGTGCTCATTGGTAAGTCAATCAACTGACACTCCTTCTCTCTCTCTCTCTCTCTCTCTCTCTCTCTCTCTCTCTTGTATGAATCAAAACAACTTTTTATTTAATATAGGCATAACCACGATTGATTTTTATTTTAATCTTTCACTTTGTCATAGTCATCATGTTTCCTTTTTTTTTTCTTTTCTTTTTTTTGGTTTCCAGTTTTTTTTTTTGATATTTAATTTAATAATATATTTCTAAAAAAAAAAAAAATAAATAAATAAATAAACAAATTAATTATAAATAT